TTTGACCGGACATGAATTAGTGATGTTAGTTTGGAGGGTTTTCTGCCAACATTTATTGAGGATTTAGTGAGTTTCAAAGATCTTTGAGGTTTGGTGTCAAGCACCCAAATGGGATTCAGTGAACATTTACCATTTACCCATATATTTTCCTGTTTTTATGGAGAGGGTAGATAGACAGTTATAGAGAAAACATAAACCCAATATAAATAGTCAAAGTATTTGACCACGTGCGATCACGTGCTTTCCAACTAGCAGAACAAAAAATGTGACTTTTCTTAAATAATAGTAATAAATATTTTCCCACTACAAATTTACTCCATTCATCTTGACCTAGAGCATTAAAAAAATGCTCTGAATCCAATTTATGCATCTTCTTTTAGCTAGATAAGCATTTGCAGTTATTATTCAAAGTTCCAATGCTTGACTTCATTTAAAGTTTGCAAATGTAAATGAATTCTTCGATTGGTACCTATGTTTTCATGTAAAATTTTTTGTTATTTTATTTTTGAAGTGATCGGCATAATCAAAAGGAAAGCACTGATAAAAGATCTTGCTGCTGCCTACCATGCTGAGTGCGTGTCCTACTGTAAAGAACTTCTACAGCTTCAAAAAAATTGGGAAAAGGTTGTTCTCCTCTTCTTCTTCTTTGCCTCCAGTATTTTATGAATTGAGAGAGTGTTATCCTTTTCATAATGTTCTTGTTTGAGCATTGTTTACATTCTATATTGCCAACCTGGGGTAGTCAGATGACACCATAACAATTCAAGTATACTCAATGTCAATTGACTAGACACTTTATCTAGTATGCCTTCTTTGTGCATGCTACAGTTTAATGTTTGGTAATTGCAAACTGCATCATCATAACAAAAGACATCTGCTTTATGTATGATTCAGTTCATACACGTTCTTCTGATTTTAGATTTATAACACGCACTAGTATCACTTTCATCTCTTTTTTTTCATTACAGTTTTCAGGATGGAATAGTATGTAATTGTGATGAAATGCAACATTATTTTTGTTAGGCAGTTTAAACAAATTGAAAAGAAACCTTATTGGTTCATTTCTTTTGATAACATTTTCCCGTAATGCAAATAGAGGTGGCTAATGGGTTGAGTCAGGTCATTTCGGGTCGGACCCGACCCTTTTAAGTCTGATCTGAACCATTCAAAAAACGAGTCAAGATACCCAACCCGTTTATGAAACGGGTCACCCATCCTGACCCTATTGGCCCATATAGCACAATTGGGTTACATGATGAAAGTGACCCTTCTAGTTGATTGGCCCCGCTAGTCGTGATCTTTATTATTCTGAGGAGGAGGGCTTTATTTATTTATTTATTTTTGGCATGTCCTAATTACAGAGAACTAATAACAAAATGACACCCAACAAATTCAACTAAAACATATTGAAAATTAATCTTTAAGATACATTGCACTGATAAGTGATAACTGTAGAAAGAGATAATTGAGAGAGCAAAAACCCTAACTTAATTGATTTATTCAGATACTATATATATATATATATATATATATATTCCACAAAATGCACATGTAGAACTAATGCCATCTATTCATGTAACTATTGAGTTGGGTAAATTTAGGGCGTATGGAAGATTTTTAATGGATTGTTCATTACATTCAAATTTTTTGGGTGATGACTGTACTCTGGAAGAACTATACCATGGCTTTTTGTCTCATGATGAGCAAGCATAATTCATATGTTCCTTCATCTGTATTTTTGCATTTAATGAAATGATATCCTTCCTTGGTCCATTTTGTTTAAGGATTTTCCAAAAGAGTTCCTCTCATTTGAAACAAATGTCATGATACTTTTCTAGGGCTGCAAATTCCTAGGATAAATTAATTAATCAATATGTCTTGTGTTTTTTAAGAATCTCATTGAGAAACATGAGTCTTGACCATTATTCATCCAGTTTGCAATCAAATTATGTGATAAATTTTTCTAGAGATTTAGAGTAACAATGCCAATATTGACATGCTGTGAAGAAAACATTGATATCAACAGATATGGGAGTTTGACCATTGATCAGGTAGCTAGCAATAAAACTATGTGATACGAACAAATAATAATGGAGATGAATTTTTTCTTCTTAACAAGCTTGGCAATATAACTTGTAGAGATGATGTGGGCTAAGTATCACTTGCATAAACGCTATGTGACATAACAGGCCACACTGATAGAAGTTTCTATAACAGTAGATCGAAAACAATAATAATGCAGCAATATTTGTAGGTCTGCTTGTGTTGCATGCTTTGTATTTCACGATGTACCCATGTAGAAGTGTTTGGGAGTTCAAGAACACTTCACATTAAATTTAGATATAGGAAGCTAGCATCGGTGTGGAATTGGTAAGAGATGGCTCGAAGATGAACCAGCATGCGTTTTTTTCCTTGTTAGACTAAAATCATCAAAGTTAATATTTAATTGTGTATTTTCAATATAAAATTCTATCGTATTTATATATACGATGATAATGATTTCCAGGTCACTAAAGGGGACAAGCAGTTATCAGAGAGCCCTTTTGGAAGGTTTCAGGGATCTCCACATGCAGATAAATTAATTAAAGTTGACATTCCAGATATTGTCTCTGTATCGGCATGTGCAGACCTAACCCTTCCACCTGGTGCAGGCCTTTGTATAGATACAATTCATGGACCGGAGTACCTGGTAAGTCTTTCCTCTCAAAACTGATTCATTATTGATTGAAGCATTTGATGCATTTAAATATCTGAAACAATATCACGTGTCATGAATTACCCAGGCATTTTTAGCTCTTTCAATCGATAATTGAATTACCTCTTTTGTCAAAGTGGCTACATGGCATCCTGAGAAAATACATTTTATGCACAAATTGGTCTAGTCTTATTGCCACTAGATCTGTTTTTTTTTTTCCGGACTCGTGTACGATCCTTCATTACCCTTCTGTACATTCTTAAAGTTCATCATTCTTCCTTCCTTTCTTTTCCTTTCTTCATCCATTTTCAACAAATGCCATATTCTGAACATGAACCTAGGACTTTCCACGATAATTTCCAGTTTTTTACCACTTGAATGGGCCTCAGGCTAACATCCTTTCTTTCTACTTCCATTTTCCTTTTTTCTCGTTTTGAAGGGCAGCCAATGTCTTATTCTGAATGTGAGCGTGGTGGGACTTTCCACGATCCATCCCCAATCCCTTGCCACCTGACTGCTAATTCTTTACCATCTGATTAGACCTCTGGGGAAAAATTCAACTTTGTGAAAGCTCTAAATCAAACCAGGTCATGCGTTTAGATAGTTGCTTTATAAAATTGTATTAGTTTTTCTGTTACACTAACTCAAGCAAACCCACCAAAATTATAAATTTTTTCAGTTCACCACCTTACTCTTCTACAATGATTTGGTTTTAAAACCACCAATGTAGTAACCCACCTAAATCATTGGTTTTTTACAATGCCACAAGATCTGGAGTTTGTTCTCTAATATAAAATTGAGAACAAAATACAAACATTCATAATCTCAGTTTCAGGTTTGGTTTGTCTTTCTTGGGAATAGGATAGTGATTTTTGTTGTTTTGTGTTGAAGTATCTATCATGGCCAACGGTATGCAATATGTAGCGGGTCATGGTACGAATTTGTGTATGCAATTCTCCGCTTAGAAAATTTTGATTCGAGGATGGTAGCTTGCTTTGTTAAACAAGTTTGGTCATTGCTACGGTGTCAACTTTTCTTGGGTGCTCATACAGTTTTCCAAAGTGTATTGTAGAAAACTAGAAAGCATAGGGCTAATTATGCATTTCAATATTTTTTTCCATACAAAATATTAAATACTTTTTTTATGTTTTTTATTTTTTTGCTCCATTTTTCGTATTGGGAATCATGGTTTCATTTCACCTTTTATTGACATGTATTTAGTTACGATAAAGTCATTGACTCATGTATACTATTGTGCGTCTCCTTTCACTCAACTGTGCACATTGCATTGCGTATTGCATAAATGCACTTAAAGGGACTTTCTATCCCACATATTTGTAAGCGGTATGTCAATTTAGGGGAATTGGTTCGCAGATGCACCAAAATCTGTTTGCAAGGACTGTATGATAGTTTGAGGGGGGCCCAAGGAATTGCACAAATATGAAATCTATACAGAGAGTAAATCATTAATCAGAAACTTTTTGTTCATTATTTTTTTTTATTGCTCCTAGTATAGCACTATTGAATCAATAATCAATATTTGATACTTCAAATTTCAAATCTCACATATAGTAATTGTTAATAGCCCATATCAAGCTGTACTGGTCATTACCAATGTCGAGGGTGTTTAATTTTCAAACATGAAACATGTCATTTCTTTGAAAGGAAGAAAACAGTAGAGAGATAAATCATCATCATCCGATTAAGCAAATTGTCTAATAGGTCATATTCATTTAGGATAGTTTATGGGCAAGAGCTTGCGAATCTATGAGATGCTTCATGAAGCCTGTATCTGAACTTTAGTAGGCCTAGTTTCAAACCTTTGTACTGAAAAGAAAAGTGGACAGAGAATGGGAATACCAAGTGCTGACACCATACTCTGTATGTGCTATTGTCATAGTGTTACATACACACAAACTCCAGCTGCTAATGCTGCATCAGCGCATTGCTCTCTTTTCAGAGTATACATAACAAATTTTCGAACTAATTTTCAAACAACTTTTCATATAACTATTTGGCTCTTATATCTGTACGGTGTTTAAAGGATGGCTGTCTATTTATGTTCACATATTATTATTAGAGCTTTTCTAGCATAATCTTTTGGCAAACCAACTGGTATTACAAGGAACCATCACATCTTTGTGGTTTCAACCAGTCTTAAGGAAAAAAATGAGCTGTAGTCATGAATTGCACTAGTTTGCAAGTTAGACTCAAACTACCAGCTTTGGATTTCTCTTTTTTTTTTTTGATATTTTGTAAAGGGTTATTAAGTTCTTGACCTCAAGAGCCCCAGGTGCACTCACTCAAAGAGAGCCTTGACTCTTGGAGCAGAGATTCTATAAAAAGATGGAGAGCTTACTGGGTCAATCAAAACCAACTCTGTAGCACTTCGGGTTCTCTCAATTTCATCCCAGTCCATTCCATGATAAACGGGCTTTGCAGATCTATAATGTAATTCAAAAGAAAATAAATATTTGATGTTTGGTCTATGCTATTGAAGTGTGCAAATTTTCTAACTATCTCTGTAAATGGAAATTATGTCCCAATTAAGCTTTAGGTATATGTAGAAAGAGATAATTGAGAGAGCAAAAACCCTAACTTCATTGATTTATTCAGATACTAGAGAGATATATATATAGTCATACAAATAGGGGTATGGTTAACGGGTCACAGCCCATTAACCCAATACCCAATAGACTTAATCTAACACTCCCCCTCAAGCTGGAGCATAAATATCCACCATGCCCAGCTTGTCACATATAGTAGAAAACACCTTTGAAGAAGTAGCCTTGGTAAGAATATCAGCAAGTTGTTGTGAGGACGGAGCGAATGTGAGAGATACCATCTTCTTCTCCTAAGCATCTCTGAAAAAATTACAGTCAACTTCAATATGTTTTGTCCTCTCATGAAACACAGGATTCTGTGCAAT